TTTTGATTTATTGTAGAGATGAGGTCTCGCCAAGTTGCCCAGGCGGGTCTTGAACCCGTGGGCTCAGGCAATCCACTCACCTCAGCCTCCCAAAGGCGCGGGATTACAAGAGACATTGTTTCTCTGTTGCCCAGGTTAGTGTGCAGTTGTGTGATCCTAGCTCAGTGCAGCTTTAAATTCCTGGGCTCCAGTGATCCTCCTGCCCTAGCCTCCTAAGTAACTGGGACTACTGGTGTATGCCATCATGCCCTCTTTTTTTCATTTTTTTGTAGAGATTGGGCTTTGCTATGTTGCCTAGGCTGGACTCAAACTCCTGAATTCGAGTGATCTTCCCACTTCTGCCTTCCAAAGTGTTGGGATTATAGGTGTGAACCACCATGCCAAGGCTTAAAATTATTTTTTAGAGACAGGGTCTTGCTCTGTCACCTGGGCTGTAGTGAAATGGTGTGATCATACCTTACTGCAGCTTTGAACTCCTGGGTTCAAGTATAAAGTCTCTTTTATAAAGGCATGAATTCCATCATGAGGGCCAGATGTGGTCAATTACAGAACTGTTGCTCTAGAAAAGGTGTTTTTCTTTTTGAGTTGGTGTCTCACTCTTGTTGCCCAGACTGGAGGAAATTGGCACGCTTCCAGCCACCGTAGCCTCGACCTGTTGGGCTCAGGCAGTCCCTCTGCCTCAGCCTTCCAAGTAGCTGGAATTACAGGCATGTACTACCATGCCCGACTAATTTTTAAAAAAATTTATTGTAGAGATAAAGTCTCATCAAGTTGCCCAGGTTGGTCTCAAACCCGTAGACTCAGGCAATCCTGTCATGTCGGCCTCCCAAAGTGCTGGGATTATAGGCATGAGCCACCGCACCTGGTGGTGTTTTTCTTAATTTCAGCAGCTTTAGTAGGGTACAAATAATTTTTGGTTAAATTGTTGCATCGTGGCGTGGCTCAGCCTGTAATCCCAGCACTTTGGGAAGCCGAGGCGAGTGGACTGCCTGAGCCTGCGGGTTCGAGACCAGCCCGGGCAACTTGGCGAGACCTCGTCTCTACAATAAAATAAAAAAATAGCCGGGCGTGGTAGCGCGCATCTGTAGTTCCAGCTACTGGGAAGGCTGAGGCAGAAGGATCCCCGGGGCCCAGCAGGTCGACGCTGGGGTGGCCGTGAGCGTGTGTGCCATTGCACTCCAGTCTGGGCGAAGGAGTGAGACTCCAAGTAAAAAAAAAAAAAAAATTGTTGCATTGTATAGTGACCTGTACACAGCGTACTCTGATAGGTGATTTTTTTTGTCCCTCCACTAATTTCCTCCTTCCCCGTTCTGAGTCCACTATGCTATTCTCTCTGCTTAGAAAATAAGGTTTTGAAATTGAAAAAGTAATAAATACATGCATAGGATCCACAAGTTAAATATTTAACACAAAATGTGCAACTACTTTTATCAGTTTTATGTATTCCAGAAATTTTCCTGGTGTACCTATTTTTTCATGAATGCCAGGATTCTGTTTTTTTTTTTTTTTTGAGTCGAAGTCTAACTCTGTGGCCCAGGCTGGGGTGCAGTGGCACGATCACGGCTACCGCAGCCTCGACCTTCTGGGCTCAGGCGATCCTTCCACCTCAGCCTTCTAAGTAGCTGGAACCACAGGTTTCGCCACGCCCGGCTAATTTTTAAAAATTTATTGTAGAGGCGAGGTCTCGCCAAATTATCTAGGCTGGTCTCCAACCCCCTGGACTCAGGCAATTCTCTCGCCTCTGCCTCCCAAAGTACGGGGATGTTATGCGTGAGCCATCGCACCTGGCCAGCTCTGATCTTCAAAGCGCACTGGGACCTGGTTGCCAGAGCTGGTTTGCAGTGAGAGATGAATTCTGGGACTTGAGGTTTTCTGCAGATCCCGGAAACTCAGAAGTGACGAACCCACCAGGAGATGTCGCCCTTCGGCGAGTTCTGTGGGACTTATAAGTACTTCAGAAGACTATTACAGACGTGTAACAATCACGGAAGAACGGGAGTTTCTCTGATTGGCAGATACAGTTCTCAACCAGTGTCAAGATTCGGATGTTAAAACCCGCCCTCTTTTGCCTTGTTGGCTGGAGGAACGAAGGGATATTTATATAAACCAATGGGAAATTCTTAGGGAACTAACAATTTAAGCGTCACGAGACAAACTAATGGTTAAGGCTTGCTCCCTAACATCATTGGTTAACTTTGTCGACTGGCAGGTATTCCTGCCAATAGATGGCGGAACTTCTCCAGTGGGTGGAGCCAACATGCCTCTTCCCGAAACACCGCCTCCCGGCCTTGACAACTCTGTTTCCACCTTTATTGGCTGTTGTACAACAGTGACAGTTCTTGCACCCAATTAACCTGCGAGCTGGTCCCCAAGGGGAAGGCTTACCTAGCCCTAGGCCCGTGCCTCACTTTCATTGGCTCATGTCTCTGAGTGGCAGCACCGTCGGCCAATGGCGAGCGGCCAGAGAGCTTTGGGTGCAGCCCCGAGGCCAGGGGCGGGAGGTCGCTCGGGTCGGGTGTCGCCTGAGAACCGGATGAGGCGGCGACCGTGAGGCCGAGCCGGGAGCGGGCGTCGCGCCGAGGCCCGGGCGGGCGGGGAGCAACGACCACAGTCGCCGCGGGTCCAGGTCGTTGAGGGTCGGGCGGGCGCTGAGCGCGGGCGCTCGGGCCGGGGGCCGCCGGCGCCATGGGCAACCGCGGGATGGAAGAGCTGATCCCGCTGGTCAACAAGCTGCAGGACGCCTTTAGCTCCATCGGGCAGAGCTGCCACCTGGACCTGCCGCAGATCGCCGTGGTGGGCGGCCAGAGCGCCGGCAAGAGTTCGGTGCTGGAGAACTTCGTGGGCCGGTGA